TTTCCTAACCTGTATTACTTCAGCGATGTTCCACCAAGAATTCCTGCATTTCCCTTTCATTATCATGCCTTTAGCTAACTGAGTTTCTAAATTATTTTCAGATTTCTCTGTATCATCGCTTTTCTAACACTTGCATTTTTGTTATTTATCAACTTCATACTTTTTGGTGGCTTTATACTTCTGTACAGTTTTATAGCTGAGATGTGAATTTCAAAAAAAGGTATGGGGTTCTTGGCATGCAGGTATCCCCTGAGGATCCTGTTATGCTGGTAGCTCTGATTAGGTCTTTCTCAGACAGCAGATAGAAGTGCTAGACAATGACCTATAGGGAGAAGAGCTCTCAGCCTTCTCAGGCATGATACATGATCAAATAAATAACTACTTTAGGGAACATCTCCATATACATTTAGGAAGTGCACATTTTGGATGTACTGAGTTAAAATGTTGACTATAAATAACAAAACATCCAAAATAATGCAGGTAAGTGTACAATAAATAGAACCCTCATATGAAAATTAGGTTTGTAACTTAAAATTTGTGTACACCAGTTTGAGTGAAGTTCTGACATAAGATGAACAGCTCAGAAAAACTAATCTGCGTCTGTCTTGTAATAGAATGAGACAATGCTACAAGATTTTTATAATATCAACCTATTTTCAGTTTGCATACCGTACTGTGAAAAGTGTGTAGATTGTTATCTGGTAATATACAATATACAATAATATACAATATACAAATTCTGTATTTTCTTTGTTCTCAATCAATCTAAATCACAGCTTTTTTCTTACTTCTTGATTTTTTTTCTGTAAAAACCTCTGTTTCCCAGGTTCAAAACAGTATAAGATCTGAATTTAAACTTACATTTCCCAAGGTGAGTATGCCATCAACAGTCAGGAGAAGATGGTTATGGAGAGGACAAAATAAATGAGAGAGTACAGACCCTAGAACAGAGCTTGAACGTGGAGAGATTTAATAGCTAATAGTGGACCTATTCTTGTGTGTACATACGTATTTCTTTGCTAATGACTATGATTGCCTGGATAATGCTATCTTACACAAACTAAAAATACTGTCGTAGTGGGTTAGCTGTGGCTAACAGCTAAACTCCCACCTAGCCACTCATTCACCCCCCCGTCAGCAGGACTCGAGGAGATAAGATAGGAAGAACAGCAATGAGAAGGCTTGTGGGTTGACATGAAGGCAGGGAGACTGCTTACTAATTGAAAAACAGTTTCAAATTGAGGAAAAATGATTTAATATATTGCCAATTAAAAAAATATTAATTACTCACTTGGGTAGTGGCAAACAAAAAGACAAACTCTAAAAGACCACCTTTCCTCCTCATGTTTTCAGGTTTATCTTCAGTCCTTCACTCCATACTCTCCCTCACTGCCGAGTGGTGCAGGGACATTGGGGATAGTTTATAGTCAGTACATACCAGTTTCTCTCTGCTGCTGTTTATTTCTCGCACCTTTCTTCTGATTCAGCATTGAATGAGAAGATTGGCATGGGCTTGGCATGGGCAGCAGTTCTTTCAGGAATATCCTGAAAGTCTGCTCCAGTACAAGTCTTCCCCAGGCTGCAGTGTAGGGATCTGCTGCCCCACCATGAAGCACCTTCTTCTCCTTCTGGTGTTCCCTCTGCTCTTTCTCACTCCCCTGATTCCCTCCTTTTCTGCCTGTCTGGCATTTTGTACCCTTTCTTAAATATATTATCACAGAGGTACCAACACTGTGGGTGAGGGGCTCAGCTGTTCCCTGCGGTGGGTCCAGAAGAGGGAAGCCTTGGTGTCTTGTCACAGACACCATCCCTGCAGTCACCCCCACCAAACACCCAATACAGGGAGACCTACACCCAATACAACTGAGCAAATATATTCTGATTTTAGTTATGTATGTTTAATACAATACAGACAATATGTCACTTAGTTCGTCATCACATAACATAGAATCATAGAATCATAGAATCATAGAATCATAGAATCATAGAATCATAGAATGGTTTGGGTTGGAAGGGACCTTAAAGATCATAAAGTTCCAACCGCCCTGCCATGGGCAGGGACACCTCCCACAAGACCAGGTTGCTCAAAGTCCCATTCTGCCTGGTCTTGAACACTTCCAGGGATGTTGCCCTCCTGGGCAACCTCATCACCCTCACAGTAAAGAATTTCTTCCTAATATCTAATTTAAATCTCCTCTTTTTCAGTTTAAAACCATTACCCCTCGTCCTATCACTACATCCCTCCCCATCTCTCCGGTAGGCCCCCTTCAGGTACTGGAAGGCTGCTATAAAGTCTCCCTGGAGCCTTCTCCGGGATGAACCACCCCAGCTCTCTCAGCCTGTCTTCACAGCAGAGGTGCTCCAGTCCTTTGATCATCTACGTGGCCCTCTGCTGGACCCGTTCTAACATGTCCATGTCCTTCCTGTGCTGAGGACTCCAGAACTGGACATAGTACTCCAGGTGGGGTCTCATGAGAGAGAAGAAGAGGGGCCAAGTCACCTCTGTTGACCTGCTGGCCACGCTTCTTTTGGTGCAGCCCAGGATGCAGTTGGCTTTCTGGGCTGCAAGTGCACATTGCCAGCTCATGTTGAGCTTCTTATCAACCACCATCAGTGCAAGCTTCTTTTTTTCTATAGTTGTCTTAACTCTGCCTAATGCAGCACCAGTAGGGGACAGGATACACTTATCATGTATGTTTAATACAATACAGACAATATGTCACTTAGTTCGTCATCACATAACATAGAATCATAGAATCATAGAATCATAGAATCATAGAATCATAGAATCATAGAATGGTTTGGGTTGGAAGGGACCTTAAAGATCATAAAGTTCCAACCGCCCTGCCATGGGCAGGGACACCTCCCACAAGACCAGGTTGCTCAAAGTCCCATTCTGCCTGGTCTTGAACACTTCCAGGGATGTTGCCCTCCTGGGCAACCTCATCACCCTCACAGTAAAGAATTTCTTCCTAATATCTAATTTAAATCTCCTCTTTTTCAGTTTAAAACCATTACCCCTCGTCCTATCACTACATCCCTCCCCATCTCTCCGGTAGGCCCCCTTCAGGTACTGGAAGGCTGCTATAAAGTCTCCCTGGAGCCTTCTCCGGGATGAACCACCCCAGCTCTCTCAGCCTGTCTTCACAGCAGAGGTGCTCCAGTCCTTTGATCATCTACGTGGCCCTCTGCTGGACCCGTTCTAACATGTCCATGTCCTTCCTGTGCTGAGGACTCCAGAACTGGACATAGTACTCCAGGTGGGGTCTCATGAGAGAGAAGAAGAGGGGCCAAGTCACCTCTGACACTGTGGGTGAGGGGCTCAGCTGTTCCCTGCGGTGGGTCCAGAAGAGGGAAGCCTTGGTGTCTTGTCACAGACACCATCCCTGCAGTCACCCCCACCAAACACCCAATACAGGGAGACCTACACCCAATACAACTGAGCAAATATATTCTGATTTTAGTTATGTATGTTTAATACAATACAGACAATATGTCACTTAGTTCGTCATCACATAACATAGAATCATAGAATCATAGAATCATAGAATCATAGAATCATAGAATCATAGAATGGTTTGGGTTGGAAGGGACCTTAAAGATCATAAAGTTCCAACCGCCCTGCCATGGGCAGGGACACCTCCCACAAGACCAGGTTGCTCAAAGTCCCATTCTGCCTGGTCTTGAACACTTCCAGGGATGTTGCCCTCCTGGGCAACCTCATCACCCTCACAGTAAAGAATTTCTTCCTAATATCTAATTTAAATCTCCTCTTTTTCAGTTTAAAACCATTACCCCTCGTCCTATCACTACATCCCTCCCCATCTCTCCGGTAGGCCCCCTTCAGGTACTGGAAGGCTGCTATAAAGTCTCCCTGGAGCCTTCTCCGGGATGAACCACCCCAGCTCTCTCAGCCTGTCTTCACAGCAGAGGTGCTCCAGTCCTTTGATCATCTACGTGGCCCTCTGCTGGACCCGTTCTAACATGTCCATGTCCTTCCTGTGCTGAGGACTCCAGAACTGGACATAGTACTCCAGGTGGGGTCTCATGAGAGAGAAGAAGAGGGGCCAAGTCACCTCTGTTGACCTGCTGGCCACGCTTCTTTTGGTGCAGCCCAGGATGCAGTTGGCTTTCTGGGCTGCAAGTGCACATTGCCAGCTCATGTTGAGCTTCTTATCAACCACCATCAGTGCAAGCTTCTTTTTTTCTATAGTTGTCTTAACTCTGCCTAATGCAGCACCAGTAGGGGACAGGATACACTTATCAACTACACTTAGTAGAAACATTTGCATTGGTACGTAGACTTCGAATAAAGTTCCGTTTTCTAAAGAGACATCAGGTTCTTGATTTCATTCTTATATGCTATTAAGGGTTGTATTGTCTTGGAAGAAAGACGGAGGTAAGCTAGTTGTACAGAAGCATCCAGTTTTAGAACACTAAGACATGATGTTTCCATATTTTGTATTTGGCTTCTACAGGCTTTCTGGAAGGGTAACAACATTTAGAAGTCTCCTTCAATTGGCATTGGATTATTTATCTAAAAGAATGTATGAAGAAGCATTCTTTAATCTTCAGGCTATTATCCAAGTTGCTGAATGAGGACAGCTGTCCTCATTTTTTCATTTGAGAAGTGTATTAATCTTATGGTTGATGCTGAGATCTTGTGGCTACATCTTACAGCACCCTAAAGGGAATAATTGGATTTAGATATCTACTTAAATAAAGTAACTTTGGTTATGGGTACATTATTCCCTTTGGAAGAAACAAACTTGTCAGAAGAAAATGAATGGAAGTGAAGAAATAAGTGATAGAAACCATAGATGACCCTTTAGACAATTTGCCATTCATACCTCAAAACTTTGCAGTTCCGATCACATCTTTTAAGAACAAACGAGGTTTTCGGGTTTTTGTTTGTTTTGGTTTTTTTTTTTCATTTTCCAACTGTTAGAATAATAATAATGTCTCCTTTTCCCCAGCTGAACTTAACTTTTATTATCTAGCAGGCTCTAGTTATGGATGAAGAAGTATTTAGCCAGAAGGATCATGAGCTGCTGATACTGCAGAATCAGACAAAGACATTAATACAGGAAAACGAAGAACAACTGGCATCTTTAAAGGAGGCTCAAGAAACACAAAGATTACAGGTATTTTTCCTCTAGTATACATCACATATATCTGTATTGAACCAGTATGAATGTATTCATTATTTCAAGACAGGTCTCTCAGGATTATTTTGGACATAATTGACATAACCTGTCAATCTCATGGGCATTTTGCTTGAATTAGAGCTGTATTAATGAGTTAAGTTCATGTAGTGGGTGAAACCCAATAATGGATTCATGAAGTTTGTTTATCACCTTACCTGTGCCACAGCCTTCCTGTATAATGTGAGATGAATCATTCACCCTCTCCTTGCTTCCTAAAGCACAACACACTCTCCTCTCCCCAAATGTGTATTATTGCCAAGTAGTTTCAGGACAATTAATGAATTAGGATTTGAAAGGCCTGTAAAGATTCTGTAGAATCTAAAAATTGCTATAAAGATCCTACAGAATTCTTTAATAGAAAGGTTGTATAGAAATGTATTTTGTTATAGCTTTATTAAGAATTAGAGTATTGTTCCCTTTGACTTTATAAGACAGAATGCCTTCCTAATTTTCTGAGCTTTTACTATTAGAGAAAGCTGAGGAAACACTGCTTGCCTCCTTCCTTCTCTAGATCTTGTGCTTGCTAAAGAAATTATGATGGGTAGTGAGTATATAACATTTCAAGATCCAGAAGACCACTATTCGCCTTGTGTTGCCTTGTCATGTGGATGATAGATAAATAATTATCTGACTTTTTAAAAGAGAAAAGCATAAGCATGGCTAGCTAGTACCCTTCTTCTTATTCTACTTTTTCTCCTTTTTCCTCTTCTTTGCTAATGGCTTGGGGAAAGTCAGTGGCTGAAAGGTAAGTATATTAGTCATCATCTTTTTCTTTCCTCTGTCACTTTCTTTCTTTTCTGTCACCTCTGGCTAGGTTGTTTTTGGTTTTTTTTCCCACCTGTACAGCACAGTGCCCACTTACTACATTGAGGTAATGCTTATGTAAGTTCCGGAGGATACAATGTAAAGGTAATGAATAGAAGCAGTCACAGTATAGGTAAAAAATCATGATTATTTCAGTATCAGAGACAGAAGAGAAGCTTGAGAGCTCTCAGGCACCATTTTGGTACTTAATCCACTAAACTGCTTTTATTTAAAAATGTATCAAATAGGCAGAACAACAAAACCCAAACACTTCTGTCAAATATTTTATCTTCTATTCACAGGCGTATGTAATTGAGTGATACGTGATAGAATAAGAACTTTAGGAAGTACTACATTAAATGTTTGCACACTTACATATTTATGTAACAGGTGGTGTACTGTAGGGTTGTATGTACAAGGGTACCAGGGACAAAGACTCTTAAAAGGGTTAAATAACAGCTTCAAGGTGGATCAGTTGGCCTTACTGCTTCCAAAATCAAAGCAAATATAGTATTTATATATATTCTATTTCCTATGACACAGGAACATCATGTATTATATTCCAACAAAATGTCAATTTGCAAGGCATTGTCTATGTGTTTGGAAAGACCTTGCAGCCTAAGAAACCAGAATATAAAGAATTAATAAAAATGCATTATTCAAATTATGGGAATGCAAAGTATCTTTCACTGAATACTTTTGGTTGACTATCACAGAATCACAGAATCTTCTAGGTTGGAAGGGACCTTAAAGATCATCTTGTCCAACCGTCAACTAGCTATTCTTTAACTTTACTGTTGTTATTAGGCCAGATTTTAAAAGTACTTTGAAAAAAATTGAAAATAATTGAAAAGAATAGAGGGAATTGAAAATACATATAATCTTGGCCTTATGGATGAATCAGTTTAGATAAGGTGAGTAGTTCTGAACAATGTACAGATTAAGTAAATTCTCCAAACTACCATTATCAATAAAGTTAAGGCTAGGTAGAAGAAAAAGAAGTAGCCCATACAAGGGATCCTGGATTATGTTTATTAATACAAATAATCTATAAAGTGGAACTGCTCAAAGAGGAAAGGAAGGTTGTATATGTGTTTAATTAATTAGACTCAAACCATGAGTGAAATTTGAACATTTTTGTTGAATTCCCATTTTATTTCTCCATAAACATACAGATAAAGCAAGCACGGGCTTGTAAGTATGTCATCTACTTCTCACTAGATACCTAGATAAGCTATTGTTACTTACCCGGAACATACCTTTCTGGACAAAAATATGTCTAAAATTTATTGGTGTTAGGGTGTGTGTGTTAGATTGATGATATGTCATAGAATTTTCAGTTTGCTGCAGAATTTGTCTGTGCATTGCAGAAGAATTTAGGATCAGTGAGTGATTTACAAGATTCATAACCTTCGCAAGGAAATTAGAAATGGTGAATGTGATACAGAGCTCATGATCAGCAAAAGTTTTGCTTTGTTTTTTTTGCCCGTGAGAATGAGAAAATGGTGGAGCAGCAAATACTTATTGATCAACTAAAAGAAAAATTAGAGAACTTCACAGATGTGAAAAATTTGGACTTCTCAAACGCTTGTGGAGATGGGCCAGCTGTTGTGGCATCTGCAAGGAGGCCATACAGTGTCCCACTCACAAAGAATCTGCTACGCTCCCTTCACCCTCCTTCAAGGACAGAGACCCGAAAGGTAAGGTCTATCCAAATGTTAACATTTTCTTTCCTTTACTTTGCAATGGTTATAGTTCATTATTAGACTTGACATGACAAATTATGGTTGCTTTCTGAGATGCTCTTTAGCTTCCCACTGAAGACTCTGAAAAATTACTTTTTAATGTCTTGCAACATGTGCTATGCCACAATTGTCCAAAATGTTCAGGCTTAAAATTATCACTTACAAATGCTAAAGCTGTATTCTTTTGTGGTGTTTTCCTGGGGTTCAAATATGAAGCATTATAAAAAATGAATTATTATTCTTACTGATATATTGAATACGTTGGATAATGACTTGCTAACAGTGCCTCCTTTCACATTTGGAACAAGTGCTCTAAGGTCTTGCAAAACTTTTTGCTGGAAAAGTTTTCAGAGTTATTATAGAAAATCTATGTAATTTTGCTTACAAGCTCAGGTGATGGCACACTTTAAATGGAAATATTTTTAAAATATCAGTAAAGAACTGCTAAATGGTTGCAAGTGGTTTTACCCATCACTTTTTTGTGTGCTTTTTGACAGGCATATACCTGCCCCCCTGACTTTTCCCCGGCCAGGGTCATGGCAGAATTCCGTGCCCGCAGCCAGATGATACTCAGCAACATAGAAGATCAGGATAAAGTCCTTCACTGCCACCTCTCTGATCAGAGTGATGAAGAGGAAGAAAATACTGGCAGCAAAAAGAAAACCTCACTGAAGTAATTTTTTGTTATTCTTTAATTTTTTATACAGACAAATGCATAGCAAAGGTAGTATTACCACCTAATCCTGCCATAATATGAGACTATTTGTGATGTTACTTATGGTAAACTTTGAAACCAACTGGGCACATTACAAAATAAGTTTAATAAACATAATTTTTTGATTTAATAAAGATTGCATAATCCTTGTTCTTCTTCAAGGATTCTTCAGAACGTTTGATCTGGCTCCTTTGGGGCCAGAATCTACTGTGAAGATCAGGGCGGGTAGGGAGGTGAGGAGAACATGGGGAAGAAGGTACAAATGCTTATATTTGTTTGGGATTCTTCTCTGTTAAGATCATGTACTTTACATGAAGCTTAAAGAAAAATAAATCCCTGTGTGTTTGGAATGTAGCATGTTTTTCATTCTTCCTTAGGCGTTCCATAAACCAAACACGGACACGAAAGCAGGCTTCTCTGGGCTTTCTTCCTGATCTAAGTGACACGAAATGTCAACTAGACAAGTCCGGTTTATCCAACAAATCTGCAGTACAGACTGACACAACCACAGGTAAAATGGAAGTCATGAGAGCAAATCTAATTACAGGATCAGAATATAAAGGAATGCTTTTAGCACACATAATTATTTTTTCCAGCAAAATACATGTATTTGATACAATTTTTTTTTTGTTATAGCACAACATAGGTTTTCAAGATTCTCTTCTCCTTCCCCTTACTGAAACTGATGTCGGTGACCTTAATGTTTAACTAACAGTTATTAGCTGGAAAGCTCTTCACACATCAGAAAGCTCTTTAGATAAAATCTTTACTACTGCTTCAATGAAAGAAAATAGTTGCTATTATCTTATCAGAGATGCACTGAAATGGTTTCAGGGATATTTTTTCTTCCACTTTAGGGTCCTGAAACGCTAGTGCATACCATCATATTTTTTTCCTGTCTAGACACAAAGCAGGGAAAAGACTCTGTGTTATTCTCTTCTTTTGCTTCTTTTACTTCATATGAAAGAACTCCACACATACAATGTTCCAGAGCACTGTCTTATGGATACGGAGTGTATTCTAGATTTTTTATCTCCATATTGCTTTGTTTTCTTTCAAGGTGAAGAGATTGACAGCCTCCGGAAAAGTCACGTTTTTAACATGCAGAAGCTAAAGAATTCAGAGTTGAGACTCACTGAGGCCGAGCAAAAAATGAGAGAACTTGCACTTAATATCAAAATGAAAGAGGAGCTTATTAAGGAATTAGTAAGAACAGGTAACTGGCTTTGTAGTGAAAATTAGAGTGAAGAAGTTCAGAAACAAAAGAAAAGGCACAAAACTTCTGAAGTGCTGCATGTTTTTATGTAATTATCTTATCCAAGAATACTTTTAATAACTGAAAGATTCATAACTTTCATTAATTACTAGGTATGGCTGCACTGAAGGCTATATGTTTTGATTACAGCCTACTCTGCTAGGATACACAGATGTATTTGTTAAATATTTTTTTGTGCTTGGCTGGTTATTGCTGTTATCCGCCAATAGTGTAACTTTTCATGTATGCTCAATGCAAGTGATCTCTTTGAGGACATCTATTTTTCACATGGTGTCTGGGATAGGAGAGAAGATACATCACACAAGCATTCCCAGCACTGTAGAGAAGCAGGAATCAGAAGTGGATGAGGGAAAAGGTCAGTGTCCCTGTTAGCCTACGGCCCTTACACACCTGTCCTGGTATATATATGCCCACCAGAAACTAGCCTTATGATGACAGTAAGGATCTCTTTGCTCAGCCCCTTCAATCACACTCTTCTGTCCCTACCTTCTCTTGAGGTTGTCTTTTGGCAGTGAAAAAGATTCTGTGTCCCCAGAAATAGTACTTTGGGAAAGATCAGCCAACAGGGGAAATTGGAGAGTAGCACAATACAAAGGTATTTACTGATTATTAAGCTGAAAGTTGAGTAATAAATAAATGCCATATTCTTCTGGAAAAAGCAAAATTAGGAAATACAGGAGAGCCTTTTTAACAAAATCTACAGTAGGCAGAAGAATTTCACTTTATTTAGCACTCAGATGGTACTTTATTTGGTGAAATCAGGTGACTCATGAAGAATTCAGATTTAAGACTCCTTCCCTTATCCCTATTTCAGAGTTAGAAAGGAACTGTATGTTCCTTTAGGGTTGGAAAATGTCACGGAAATTATTAGGTTAGCCAGAATGAAGTAATTAATGATTCAACTACAGAATTAACTATTACATTTCAACTGGATTTCCTGGTGTTTTTTAACTACTCGGATATGTTGTCTTTAAGGTAAGGATGCTCAGTCTGTAAGCAGGCAATATTTTTTGAAGATAACTAATCTGGAGCAAGAATCTGAGCAGGCCAAAATGGAACTGGCTGAAACACAAAAGTGGCTTCAGGAGCTGGAGAGTAAGGAGCTGAGAGACATTCCTGAGAAAGCCAAGTTACAAAAAGAGTTCCGGAAGAAGATGGATGCAGCTAAGTTAAAAGTGCAGGTATTTCTGATCTGACCGTTAAGATTTTCAAATCTCTGTCTGACTATCACCTTTGAACACCTATCACACTCTGCTTGTAAAACTCTCACCAGTTTTACACATTGGAAGCTGTTTGGGTTGAAGTAGACACTATTATACTCAGAATGCTATTTAATGTGTATGTGGTTAGATACATACAGTATTTTCTTGGTAGATAAGAAACCAAGAAAGATGAGGGTGACAAGAGATGCTTATACACCGTTAAATGTAGTATCATAAAAGAACCTACACAAGGAGACTATTACAAGTTTACTACTTGCCATAAATAAAATAATTTTTTTTACGGAAATACTATATAAATTCCAGCTCTAAGCAAATCACTGTGATGGTTTGCAAGACCAGGCCCAATACAGTCATATTTGTTTGGTACTGAGCTTCCACTTTCAGGTTGAACTCTGTGGAGGAGCAGCTTAGGTGCTCTCTGCCTCTCGGTTCTAGGATGGTAGGTCAGACAAGTACCATACAGAAGGAGGTAGAAGGTTTACTGACTTGAGCTTAGTACCAGCGTTCTGGCACCATTTTGTCTCTGCACAGTCCCCAGAGCTGTGATTTCTGATTACTACTTACATTGTATTGCCAGGCATGAACTCTATTTTTATCGTTTCATGTTGCTTGCGATCAACTTGTGCCAACCTTACCAGATAGGACAGAAACCACAGAAATAATGAGTGTTTCTGACTCTGAGAAGTCAGTGAAATAATGAATGAAATTGAATCTATTTTAGTTGTAAGTTTTCCTGCTATTAAGCTGAGATTTGCCACAAACATCCAGGCCTTAGAGAAGAAGCAGCAGGACACTAAAAGTCTGGCTTCATTGTCTAACCAAAGTAAGAGACAAGCAACAGAACTTGAGCAGAACGTGGCTCAGATGAAGCACCATCAGACCCAGCTACAGAAAAGACTGTGTGAGGAGAGTGAAAAGAAGAAGCAACTAGAAGCAGAGATTCAGCGGGACCAACAACAAATTAAAGTAGGAGTCTTCTTATTTCTTTATGGCAAACAATGAGATGAGCTGATTTTGCTTTTGCTTCCCCAAAGACAATAACCTATACTTCCAGAGTTTTGATAGTTTTAAGTAATGACTTTCTTGACAAGTGCACTGAAGGAATTGTCTATAAACATTTTCACAGAAATCTTCAGTTTGCCTTTCTCTTCAACTTCTTTTTTTTATTATGTCATGTCTAGCTCTGAATTGCAATTTTACATGTAAATTTAGGGTCAGTATTTCAGATTATATACTTATGTGGACTCTGACATTAAATGCATATTAAAAACAGACTGACTGAGGCAGGAAGAATGGGGCTTTTTTTTGTTTACAGGAACTTGAACTAAAGATGGAGCAACAACAGAAGATCCTTAAGGAGAAAGAGATTGCTGCATTTAAAAAAAAGAAGAATGACTCAGTGGGAACTTCACAGAAGCTACAGGTATCTAATCTATTCCAAATCCGTGTGGGCCCTGAAAAAAAAAATTCTTTCTTCATCCCTAGTTATCTTTGTAAAGTGTTTGGAAGAAGAGTATTCCATCATATCTTTGTCTTCTTTTTTGCTATAGCAAAAATTGGGAGTATGGTCTAGCGGCTCTTGTACTCTTTTTTGAATGAAAGAAAGGAGAGGCTGTAATGTCTTTTCTTTCTATGATTTGTCAAAGACGCTGATTCAGAGACCTGAGAATTCAACAGGTTTGGTTGTCTTGTAGGTCTGAGGGTGATACTGATGAACTCTGTTATAAAGTTCTATGGTTTGTTTGGGTTTTGGTGTGGTTTTTTTTTCTGACATAAAGGATAGGGGTCTATGGTTTTGGTTGCCCCTAACAAGGTTAGAAAAGTAGATGTCCTATGCAGCAGTGCATAGGAAACTATTTCAGATGTGGACATTGGAATATGAAAGTTTCAGGAGTTACTCAAAGTCTTTACAGACAAAAAGAAATTTTAAAAATTAAATAAAGGCAACTTATTACCTTTGTCAGGAATATATCTAGTGATAAACTGTGGCTTCAGAATAAATTTATAATGGACTGTGCTAACAGGATCAGAGCTTTCACTGACTGTCTGTCTTTCAGTATCATAATTTCTTGTAACTTAAATGCTTTTCCACAAATAGCTGGTCTTGGGCAGCTATAATGCAATAAGGATGGGCTAGCTGAATTCTTGTGGTACCTTCCAAACCTAGTTCCTGTGATTCTACAGGAGACATGTATTTATATAACTGCCTTTAGAAAAAGGAATATATTTCATTAAAGGCATCTGAATACAAATTTATTTATATAAGATGTAGCAACGTAACATGCTGAGCTTCTTTTTAAATTAGTCTAATTTATGTATTATTTTGAGTCAAGATTTTGTTGCAGAATTAATGTTAACATTAGAAATGTCAATTTCTTCTACAGTTTTATTAGTTATTGTAAAAAAGGAAAAACATAGTCATAAAATTCTGATCCAAAAAGTTCTGGCTAAATGCTCTCTGGATTCTATTTAAACTGTAGAAATTAGAAGAGCAAAAGAAATGGCTGGATGAAGAAATGGAAAGAATTCTCCAACAGCACCAACAGTTAGCAGAACTAGAAGAAGATTTAAAGAAAAGAGAAGCCATTTTAGCAAAAAAAGAAGCATTACTGCAAGAGAAAAGCCACCTGGAAATCAAGAAACTGAGATCTAGCCAGGTGATTTAAGAAAAAACATGAAACTCACCACAGTTATACAAGTGCTGACGGAAAGACTGAGTGGGGATGAAGGCGGGTAGATAGAAGAGGCTCAAGCCATGTGACCGGTGTCTCTAGCACTGCCATGAAGTTACTGTGTCACTTGAGCAAATCAACGTGAATAACATGGAATAATCACTTTTATTCACTTGTTGTCCCCAAAATTACAACAAAACAAAAAAATCTGAACTGTAGAGTTTGTTATTGCATTAAGTAATATGAGATCTAAAAGTGACTCAGTCCTTTTGCAAACTAGAGAACATGACAGGGAAACATTTTGCATTTCAGTAGCAGAAGTGAGTAGAAATTAAGTATCATTGTCACTTACAATGACTAGCCCCTTTAGGTTTTATTATGTGGAAAACTGCACATTGAGCATTTTTGTTTTCTTTCATCTTTTGAGTAAATAGAAAATTTTATGGTAGCTGTCTACTAAAAATAAATGGGGTCCTATTGCAAGAAGCAGGCAAGTCTTTCACTGCAGAATGCAATAGTCTCACTTAACATTCTTCTTACTGGGTTGCTGTGGTTTTTTTCAGGCTTTAAACAAAGATAGTATGAAATTGTCTACTCGCTTAAGTATGCTGGATCAGGAACTGTGTGATAAAGGTATGCAGCTTCAGGGAAGCACCACTGAAGATAAGACAGACATTTTGGAAAAAATTCAGGTTCTCCAGACGGAAAGGGATCAGCTGCTCAGAAGAAAAAATAGTGTGGATGAGAAACTGAAAGATGGTAAAGTGTTGTCAACTGAAGTAAGTAAGCACCTCTGAAATAAACATAGGTTTTAGGTAGTGTTGTATAATAAAGCATTCCAATCAGAACAGAAAATATCTCCAAGTAACAGATAAGCTAGAACCAAGGAACTGAGGTTGGGTACTTCTGTAAATAGCAATGTTAAAATACTGCTATGATAGCAATACTTCTGCTATCAAAGTGAACTTTGCATATGCTATCTAAAGTGAACAAAATTAATGTTCAGAGGGACTGAATTCAGTTAATATCTTGACAAACTCCAGTGGCCCAAGAATCATATAATCAGAAATAAGAGAACTAGAATTTCATCAGTTTTTCATAGGCAGATATTTTCATGTCAGGACATAGAGCAAGGCAATGTACTCGCATAGTGATCACCCTTGATCTTTTTTCATAGGATTTTGTGAAAAAGCAAACTTGACCTGAAGGCACCCATATTTTTGCAGCAAAAATAAGTCATATTACATGGAGTTGATCAATTACACTTGAGTTGATCAGTGTAATTACACTGAAGATATAATAAATTCATATAAAATGAACAGATTATTTTTAGGTCTTGAGAAGCAGTATGGGCATGTGGCTGAGGTGATAAGGTCACAGAAAGAACCATACTTGCCTCACTCCAGAAAATTTTCTACCGTGCTTCAGGCCATTCATTTCTCCTACCTTCCTACACAAGTTATGGGACACCAAAATCCTTACTGACCAGATTCATTCACTAATCTACAGAAAACTAGCTAAACTTAAAAAAAAATAATAGTCAAACTGCGGAGAGATGAGAGAAGGATAAAAAGATAAACATGACTTGGGGTTTTGTGACAAACTACTTGATTGACCTCTCTATCATGGAAGGGGTACTATGGCAGAAAAAGACAAGTGTTCTAGATCTGTACTCTTACGCCTTATTTTTCCCATTCTGTTCTCTGTATTGATACTAATTTGTCTTGCCCTTAAGTTTAGTTTCTCTCTTGAGAATTAATTTAAAGATATCTTATGTATATGAAGATTAATTCTACACTTTTTTTGTTTAAAGATCTCTCTTACTCGTTTCTCTGTAGGAAGAACACGTCCTTTTCCAGCTGGAAGAAGGAATTGAAGCCCTGGAGGCTGCTATTGATTACAAGAATGAAAGTATTCAGAATCGCCAGCACTTGCTTAGGTCATCTTCTCAGATTCTTTCACAGACCGAGAATAATGTAATAGGAAAACTATTTTCCCTGTCTGCTGCTGAGCTCAGAGCTATCCTCTTCAAATATTTCAACAAGGTTTGTTTTGGCTAATCAATAATATTTTATCCTATTTTCTGTTACTATTCTAGATAATAAAATGAAATGGTGTCAAGAAATAAAAATAAATTTAACAAGCTTTTGGTGAAAATTTCTTCATGTTAAATAGAACTGCTATTAGTTCAGATATTTTTAATTTTTTGATTAACCTAAATAGGATACTTGTGTGTTAACTTAGTATATCTTGATTTGGGGTCATTAGCTTAAAAGGTGCTGCAAATCGGGACATTTCTTTGCTCCTTTCCAGTGCTCTGCATTGCTACCTTTTGGAGCAGCAACGTATTCAAATAGTGGTGGTGTATTGAAATTATTCCCAACTGCAGGCTTCATAATGCTCAAGCTAGTATTCTTAGTTTTGTCTAAATCCATTTGCATACACTGCCTGCAGTCTGTACAGCCAAATACTGAAGAATTGTACTGACGTTTGGAAACAAAAAAATGAAATTAATTAGGACATGGTGTGTATTTGTGACCTTGGGTGAACCTTAGGTGATTTTGGGAAGAAGTTGTCTGTGGGATGCAAGTTGGAAGTTTTCCAGAATCAGGAAAACACTGTTGTTTCAGTTTAAATTCTGCACAGGGTAATAAAAAAGTCCACTAGTCCGTGGACTAGTCAAAATGTACAGAGGTCATTTCTGAACTGTGAACTTGCAGAAGCAGGCAAGTCTGTTTCCAGTATAAGCTTGTGGCTTGTAGAGACCATTGCTTTTGTATGCTTTAATCTGTTAGGCAGACAGTAAAAGCTCTTATTAGAATGGTTTAGTAAATCAAAAGAAGTGTATTTCTTTCTTAGATTGTTGGTCTACGCGAGTCTCAACGTAAATTACAACTGCAGATTGAAGAACAGGAAATGAAGGCCATAGACCAGGAAAACATAATACGTGAATTAGAATCTGCACTTGAACACGTCAAGTTGCAGTGTGACAGGCGGCTGACCCTACAACACAAAGAACATGAGAAAAAACTACAGTTAATATTGCGTCATTTCAAAGGTATTCGCTTCTGGAGGGGAGGGGGGCACGGATGGTACAGCAAGTATTATCTTCTGTCACTACTGAGAAATACTATATTACAGCAGAAAAATAAAAGAATAAGGTTCAGAGATATATTTTGGCTGTCACTAATTCTGATGTTGTGTAGGATGCTGAAGAACAGACACACGGTGTCTCTATCAACAGAAAAGTAAGTGTTTTTTTAAAGCAGTATAAGAATTTTTGTATTTTCACATTGAATTTGCTGATAATGGAAACTTGAAAGATACCAGTCCTGCTGATCTTGATCTTTTAAATACTCCTATTAAAACTGGCAAGTGAGGTTGGCATGGCTTATTTGATCCTGTGTCATACTAGTTAAAATATACACACTGCAAGCAAAGTGTCAGCAAGATCCAAGACACATTCTGTCTAGCTGGGTAACTTGATTTTTGGCACACAGATACCCAGTTCCTAAACTAGTTTTATTTGTCCTAGAACAAGATAATGAAGGTATCACAGAAACCTTGAAAGGGTATGAAGTGAAAGTCCAGCAACTGGAAAAAGACTTATTTTTCTATAAGAAAACCAGCAGAGAGCTGAAGAAGAAACTGAAGGGCCTCGTTGGAGAGTCATCCAATCAACTATTGGCATCCACTAAATGTAAGTATATTACCTTAAAAAATATTTATGCAGTTGTCAATAGACCACTTGAAGGGTGGTGAACACACCGAAGTATATCAGATAGACAAAAAAAATTTAATTTTACTGAACTTACTGTTCTTCACAAATGTATTAAACCTCTCTCCCAGTTTCAAAGGAGAGACAACATTGGTTTGTATCTGTAGCAGTGGTATCCTACTGGTCTAAATTCGTGTTCTATTTTCTCTGGATTCTAACATAATTTCAGCATCTACAACCTCAAATGGTTGTGGTTAAGAAAAGGAATTTTACTATCTGAAAGGGTCTGAATGATGATGTAACTAATAGCTTTGTCATATGCCATGGTTTTAGATAGGCTGCTCCCAGTACTTGATTTCATAAAAGTTACCAGCTGGGATACTTCAGTGAAGAATTCCATACTTTGAGTTACTAACTTACTTACTTTAGTTACTTACTAAGGCTAAAAGACAGGATTTATACACTTGTAGGGAAAAAAAGAGCTTTCTAGTGTAATTCTGTACTTTGACACGAAACCAAAACCAAACCAAAAAAAACCCAAACAAACTAAAACCAAGCCAAACCGAAACAAACAAAAACCCCCAACAACCAACTGCTACTGTAGGTTTTTAATTGTTCCATGTCCTACTTGCCAGAGCCATTCAGGTAGAGGAGAAAAGGTGGTTCAGTTTCGGTTGTCTCACACCTCTCAACGCTACCACGAGTATCTCACGTGCACAATAGAACTTTCTTGGTCCTGTGTTTCTTCTTAAGGCTCAGCATGACTGGTTGTTCCTCCCAACAACCAACCAATGTTGTTGGGAAGTTTCTGTTTCTTTCCACCCGGGCTGTGCCATGCCTTCCTATCAAATAGATGCTGATCACATATCTGCTGCTCCCAGAGTTAATTAAGGCTCAGCCCTTGCCCTCTAGGCAGGATAATGAGCCAACACATTCTTTACTATCAAGTACACCGTCAAACCGTGAACATGAATATTCTATAGGTCGGATTATAAATGAGCGTGGGAAAGACATTTCTGTGTCTAGTATACAAAGAAGCATGTAGTTCAGGGCATGTATCTGTGTGAGAAAACAGGCAGCCTTGCCAAACTGTAGCAGGAAGATCCCTGTGAATTTCCAACTTTTTCAAATACTTATGTTCCTAAGTTTTACAAGAAATACTCTGTAGTTAGTTCTTTTATTTTGAATACATTTTGAGGAATGCTGCAATACAATGTAATAAAAACACTTTATAATTTGTTGCTGAGCTTTAAAAATAATAAAAGCACTCAGCGTACATTACCATCAGAATTTGCAGAATGTGTTTTGTGTGTTGTGCTAGTGTAACTGATGAGTGTTTTTGTATATATGAATAATTTCATATTTGACTGTCGTGGTTCAGTTATTTTAAGACTGCCTACTAGGATACATTACAAGTTAGAACGGTGAGGCTTGTATTACAAGCACCTTGTCATAGGAAAGTGACAGCTAATACCTTTGATGTTTTTGTAGGTGATGAACATTTTAATGGAAAAGACAAAATGTGAGGTGCTGATAATTTATCACCACGTTCACACACTACAAGTTACTGATGCCATAAAACTGTATTGACTAACTAGTATTTCTTGATGGCAGGCACTCAGAAGAGTTGTAACTTTTAGTTATTTATGTCCTGATAAATTTCATTGTAGATAACAGTGGTGACAAAGTATGCAGTCAAGATGAAACAGAATTTGCTCCTGTAGAATTCAAGTCCACACTTAACCTTGAAACCAATAGTCAACCAGGGAAAATAAAAGAAACAAACAGGATGAGTATTTTAAGAGCACAGCAGAAATCATGCAAGCTTGGAGAAGATGTTTCAGAATCTGGGTGCAACAAAGAATGTTTGTTGAGCACTAGTGATGACAAAACAGGAACAGATGAAGCTCAGCCTTCAAATTCTCATCCTCAGCTGCCTTCTGTCATCCAGAAAAGAGAAACTGGAATACAGTTTCAAGGACTAACTCCAGTAAAACTATCTCGCCGAGAGCTACGTCATATTCCTGCCCCTGAATTATCTTTGAGACGTTCAAGCCTTGCAGGTGGTGTCAGCTTTAGTGCTCCAGATTCTATCGAAATGGACAAAAAGTCTAATGTCACTAAGACATAGTTAATCTTCATTGCATTTCTAATAGCTGTTGCTACTGAAGCAACTGTATGAGAGTTCTTTGTTCATGGTCTTGTTAAGGACCAACCATGGATAAGTGAGTAAGTATTCTTTAGTTCTTATTGCTCACTATCGAGTCATTAGGTGCTATGCTTACACAGTTTCAGTGAATTTGAGATGGATTTTAATTGACACAATATCTAAAAACGTTAATTCAAAGTCTTTTTAACATTGAAGAAATTATTTATATTGGTTTAGTTTTTTGCAGTAACTTCCAAAAATAAAAGTTTTTTCAAAAATTGCACTGTAAACTGCAATGTACTTGTGTAACTTAGGTTTTCTAAAACAATATTGTACTTCACTTTCTTGGGTCAGAAACAGTAACAAACTACTTATTTGGATATATAGCTAGAAAATTTAGTTGCCAGACTGTTACCTAGTATTGATAACGACTGGCTTCTGTACGATTTTTATCTAAAAACATTTTATATGAGCCGTGTTTGAGATCAAAATTTGTTCCTTCTCAGGAACACAGAAGTACTTACTCTTCTTTTTTTCTTTCTTACGGCTTATTTATGAAAGATAATTGCTTATTTCACTTTCTAGTTTTGTTTGTTGGGCATTTAAAGAATTTCACTTGGCAACTTGAAGTGTGATATTTATTTCTGTACTACTAACATGGAAAAAAAAACTGAGGACCAAATTCAGCATCCTCTAGGTAAGCCAGATAGATCAATGTATTATTTTATTTGTACTAATAACTCACGTCTTTTCATATACAAATTATTTTTCTGGATTCTATGTCTGCCTCAGAGTAAGGACTACACATGTCCTTCTGTTTACTGCTATAATGTTGTTATTATTAATGCAGTGCAATGCAGGATGAAAAGCAAATCTTTTTTGTAAGAGGCCTACACTGATTAGGCATGTGCTTAACAGCTGCACAAACTTGAAGGCAGAGACCAGCATATTCACATTTAATTGAGATTAACATTTCTATCTGTAATGTCCACATTTAAATGAGATTAACATTTCTATCTGGAACTCTCACCTACATAAAAAGTGGAAGTACTGAAAGTAAGGTTAGTTTTATTTTAGTGGTGGACGTCAGCCAGTCATGTTTGAAAATGTTGTCTTAGATTATTAGATGCACTTAGAAAAGGAAATTTTGCTTTCTGGTATTGTCTAGGCAAGGTCTTGTGTATAGCATGCATGGCTACAGGTATAAAAGAACTGCATTTTTGCACTGCTGCAAATCTGTCTACATTACAAAGATCTGTTACAGCATGATAAATGGACCTACTGTCCTGTGGCACATTTTAAAATTTTCTGAGTAGACTGCAAAATATTTCATTCTAATCAGACAAATAAACCACTTAATGTGTCAAATGATTGTATCTTTTGCAGTTACACCTAATTACTACCTACTGTTTGGCTGAATTGTGAGAAAAGGATTGGGGTCTGTCTTGATTGTTTCTGGATTAGGCTTTATTGTTTTTACTGTCATGGAAGTACTGTGCCTTAAGCTTAATATTAGTGTATATGTTGTTCACTTAGTATTTCTAGTCAAAAAGCAATAAACAGAAACAAGTAAATACAGTTTCATATGTGTACTTATTTACTACATTTTTATATTAAGTGCAGGAATCGTTGAAGGCATTTCTTCTCAAGATAACACGGTGCATTATGATACACCTGATACTACTCTATAAAAAAAATGAATTCCCCTTATTTTGAAGCTTCCACAAATGAAAAACCTGTTCGTTACGGATGCAAAATAAGCAAGGGAAAATGTAGGGAAGCACAGTTCAATCACAAGTAGATGTCAGCTGGTGGTCTGCATGTTTCTATAGCTGTGACACTGGAGATCAAGTAGTCATTCAAACGTTAGATTCTGTATGCCACACGTACCCATTTTAAGATATAACTACAACATCATCTAATGCTAATGTAGAAAAATACATCAGATACACTTGTGATCTTTGGAGAAGCAGAAGAATTGTTAACCATGAGAGGGACCTAACGTAAACAAAGTGATGAGAGAGGCCAGTAAGGCACTCATACAGGGAAAAGTAAAGTGATTTATGTTCTCATTTATGTATAGAGCTAACAAATAAAATGTTTTTATCTCTTTCAGACAATATGTAGCTCCTCTTACTTCTGCTGATTAAAAACAAGACTTTATCTGATAGGCTTTTATCACCACTTTCTTTGTTTTACTTCCTTGATGTTATTCACTGGCATTTACAGCCTTCACTGACATTTAGCTGATGTGCAATATGGGGATAAAAACAATATGCAGCTAATTTGCAGTGATCCACAACACCATTATTTCACTTATTAACAGCTGTTTCCCCTGCTACGTCCTGCTAAAACTAACTAAAAAAAAAGCCATGTGTATCATCTGTTCTGTTGTCTAGCTAGTAACTGTGAATATAAACTATCTTCACTTATGATCTGAATTCTCTGTTACGATTATCTGAACACTGTTATGGCTGCATTTCCAAAATAAACTTTTGCCCTCTCCATTACTGACTCTGCTTAGGACTGAACATTATCAGCGTTAGAGTTAGCCCATGCAAAGAGTTTGCAGAAGTTCTCTGACAAGTAAATATTAATTGCATCACCTTTGAGAAGCAAATCTGGCTGTTAATAAGTTAGTGGAAATATCTGTACGGAAACAAAGTTTTGTTCTTAGTAGCTTAAAGGTGAGGTTTAACAGGTATTGATACTCCAGCGATGTGTGTGGTGTGTGTAGTGCCTTTTATCCTGGCAAAGCAGATTTCAATTCGACTGATCTTGAGGTTCCAGCTTGAATGCACTTCTATTAGATGGCCAATCAACAGTATGAAAGTTCTGATTTTTGGTTCAGTATACTGATGAAGGGGGTTATACTATGTAGGGCTTCCAATGAATCTGAAAATATTTTGTAAGAAAAGCTATTTATACAGGGTGTCACTTCAACAAATGCACGTTTTATGCATTTCTAATTTTTACTTAACAGGGAACACTAAACACAATAGAGCAAACTTTGTTATACTGCAAACAGTAGCCTCATTAACCTGGTGTCGTGATTTGGGGCTGGGCTGGCCCCTAAAGCAAATGACCAATGCTCTTTTTTACTTCTCTCCCCTTCAGAGAAGGGAGATCATCTGCCTTCAGGGACAGAAGGATAAAAGAGAAAAGAGACTTAGGAGTTTAAAAAGAAACTAAACTACTTTAATCAAATGATCAAATACATACAAAACCATATCAAGCTCCCAGGATGGCGATCCCATCCCTGGCAGGCACTGGGAAAGTCCCAGACTGGACTCAGCAATGGACGGGACGGGATCTAGAAATGCAAGGGATCAGGATCTGTGGTGGTCTGCTCTCCCTGTTTTAACCCTTATCTTCCCCATCCCCCCCGCCCCGCAGCTCCTGCTCGGGCCATGGCCACCACGGCCATCACAACAGCAGCTGTGATAACTTGCACCCGGACTTTGGGGGATGGCTGGCAACACAGCCAAAATGCTGTCTGGCGTGGGGACCTAGAAACTCTGTTCCCATGAGAATATGGCTATAGGTCAATTATCTTACTGTATAAGTAGTGGACAGCCCAAGAGCCCTTGGAGCTCTCCTGTGTGGCAGCGGCTGCACGCCAGGATCTCCCCTTTCGTGAGGACGCTCGCTTAAGGTTCTACTCCTCGACGTTGAAAGATTCCTTGACACAACAGATTCTTGGTAAGTGACTAATAGCATGCTAAACTTTGAAATCTTAGCTAAGTAATGTAAAGGATTGATTGAGCATATATCATCCTTTAGACACAAACCGTTGACCAAATCTGGGACTAGGATTGGATCCAGCCGCACCTGGAGTCCTCTCTGAGAAGGAGTTCAGAAAGCCAGGGGGTCCTTTCTGAACCTCGTGACTCAACGGGAGGGTCTCCCTGACAGCTTGTCTGACCCTGTCCTCTATGCAGCAAATAACCAAGTGTGCCTTGACATCCAATCTCATAAAACACTATCACATTTATTACTGGTTTTATCGCACTTACTACTGATTTTGTTAAATCACTGTCTCACCTTAATAAATATTTCACTGCTTCTCTCTTATGCGTGAAGTTAATCACTCTGTCCGCGACAGGATCAAAGGCAGACAAACAGACAAGGATCCTCCTTGGACGCCGTCCATTGAAGAAAGAATCATAGAATCATTCGGGTTGGAAGAGACCCTTGGGATCATCGAGTCCATCCATCTACCCTACTCTACAAAGTCCTCCCCTACACCATATCCCTCAGTACCGCATCTAAACGTCCCTTAAACACATCCAGGGACGGTGACTCAACCACCTCCCTGGGCAGCCTGTTCCAATGCCCGACCAAAGAGCTCTGACCCCTTTGGTCCCTCAGCTCTTACGCTGAGCGTGGGGCAGGTGGGATGGAATATCCCTGATGGCCAGGTCTGGGTCACCCGTCCTGTCCTCTCCTCCCCACAGGTGTGACCCCTCCACGCTCTCCCGCTTCCAGTGCTCCACACAAGAAACGGGACACACAACAAACCCGACCCTTAATTGCTGTTACAGCAATTAATATAAGCAGGGAGGCTCCCTGCATACCCTTCCTGGGTATGGATTACAAACATCGGGCCTCACCTCCGTTAGGAGCCCAGAGCGGTCTGAAAAACACACCATTAACTTCAGAGACGCCGACTAGCTAGAAGAGGCACAACTGAAGTGAAATTAGTTCATTTGCGTAAGTGAAATTATTAGCGAAGATAAAATCGGTTCTGTTTCACCTCAGGGCGCCGTAGGCCGCGCCGTGGCGGGCAGGGCAGGGCAGCGCACCGCCAGACAGCGGCCAGGCCGGCGGGGGGGACGCGGGAGGTGCGGGGGCCGTTTGACCGGACGTCACGGCTGCGGAGCGCAGCGCCGCGATCCCCCGCCGCCCGCCAGGGGCCGCCCCGCGCGGTACTTCCC